TGCAGTTTCCCCAAAACCCCTGCACCTATCTCCTTGACACTTGGCCGGCTTTGTTACCTCAGCAGGGGCTACCATGCTTGCAGTTTTGATCCCACCATGGCTTAACACATTTACATGACATGAGTTTTTTACTTTCAAGATTTGAGGTGAAGTTTCCCTGAAACCCCTGCACCTATCTCCCTGAAACTTGGCAAGCTTCATGCCCTCAGAAGGGGCTACCATTTCTACAAGTTTCCTCCAAATCATGCCAGAAATGACAAAGATATAGGCTGTTTTGAGCTTTCCAATTATAGCCTATGGGCAAAACAGCGAAACTGTTTTGATGAAATGGAGCAGTGGTTTCACATCTAAACGAAACACTGTTCCGTCAAAACACAATGGTGCCATTTTGCACAGCCCTACTTTATATACAGTACAATGTAGATACAGTGCATTAGTTAACCTGTTTAACCTCCTTAGCCACTGTCACTCATTCTTTCACTTGCAAATCTTATTGTTTTGTATTCCAGGTATCAGATTTAATCTGTCTTTGATCCAACTGTCACTAAGTTGGCAGAGACTCTAGCTACTTCCAGGTGTGTCTTCTATGCAGTTCAAGCAGGAAGATGAAAGTATCTCGTCAATGAAGCTTGCCCATGATTGTTTTGATACAGTTGGATTTTTTTTCCAATTTAAAAAAGTCTGCAAAGAGATTGGGCATTTTGCTTATGTTGGAAAATGTTTGATGGGTAATTTCTGCCAAGTCACTCATTTTGTGAGACTTTGTTGCAGATGTTCAAAGTTTTAGCTATTTTGAGAAGATGCACAAATTGTGTCCTCAGTTATATAGGTGTGACGGAAGGCAGAAGTTGTCTGATAAGTCATGAGTCATATTTCTTCACCCAAATAGCTTCCAGTGTAAATTTAGCAAACATTAATTTGAAAACTGTTTCCTATGAATATTCTGTGTTGTTTTGTTTAATGGGTTCTGTTCTGTTCAGTGTACCAGCCAGTAAACTCATTCCCTAGTTTAACTGAATTCAATTCAAAATTCACATGAATATTCATGGTGGAATTTTCCATGATTTGCCCAACCCTACATGCTGACAATGTAGATATATATTTTTAATAGCTTAATGCTCAGAGAAGTCTTACAGCTTAATCTATTGGAAACGTTTTTCTTCGAATATGATTCCCCCCCCCCTTTTGCTAACTTGGTGGTGTTGACTTTATTTTTGGCTGCTGCTTAATAATTTAAATTGTATTTTTCCTCAACTTCCTTGTGGGGACTACTGAGTTTTTTGTGTACCCCTTTTTAAATACTTTTTTTTCTCTCTAAACTAGAGTCACGTATACTTTTATAGCTGTTCTATATGCCAGACTCTTTTCTAGGTCTTTATAGCCAGTATTTTTTTTTATTTAATAGAATAGGGATGGAACAAGTAAGAAAATGAATACAAACTGCACTGAGGTTCAGTTGTGTGTGCACACACGCGCACACGCAGCAGTGGATGGAAGTCTGCCACCAATATAGCTCCTTCAGAGCTGGGAGAGCTCTGAACATAGTGGATAAGGGAAGGTTTCATGGCAGACGGATACTGTGCTCTTTATGAGCTTGTAAGGATTTCATCCATTGGAGAGGAAAGGAAGATATTTTGACACAGGGGATTGGCTCTTCATGCAGCTTCTCAAATGGTAAGACGGTGATGGCCTGTTGCACGAGAGAGGTCCTGGATCTGTGGCAGAATGTGCTGACACTTAAGGGGAATGGGCTTTTGGAGCCATAGCCCCGAGTCCCGTTGATATTAAGCAGCACACGTGGATGCAGTTCTTTGGCTGTTGTGACAACTGGTAAAACCTCAACATTTCTTGACTCGGGTAGCCTAAGAGGAAGCTGAGCTCATGTATGTGTGGGGTGTAGTTGCATCCTGTATAGTTGGGTCAGACATAACATTTCAGCTGTTGCTAAAGCTA